TTTCCCCCCTTGTACTGCGTTGTACCCCCGCTTTTCTCCCCGCTAGCCCTTCTGCACCCCGTTGCACCCCCTTTCCCGCCTCGCAGCCCCTCTTACCTTCTTTCGATCGTTCCCCCACTGCCCCCTGCCTTGTCTCCTCTTGCCTCCACTGCACCCCTTCCTATCTCCTCTTTCCCCCATCCCGCCTTCCTTATGCCTCTTCTGTCCCCGTTCCACGCCTCGTTGCACCCTTAGCACCCCCTCTACCTCCCCATTTTACCCCGGTTACATTGCTATTGCACCCCTCTCATCTTCTCATTTCACCCCCTTGCACCTCTCGCTGCGCCCTATAGCACCCTCTCACCCATTGCACCCCCATTGCACCCCCATTACACCACTGTGTACACAGCTGTTCCCCAGCTTGCGTGCCCACCCCGTGTCCCCAGCCTCATTCAGCCATTCCCGGTCCTGAACCCTCCCCAGGGGACCACCAGCCCATGGGTGTCGGAGGTGCAGGGACTTTTGGCAGCACAGAACCCAGCACTGGATTCTCCTGGAAAAACGTTGAGGCTGGGGGGGGCACTGGGATGTCGAGGTATTTTGTCGTTTGACATCTCTGATATCTTTTTCCCCCAAGGCTGCCACGGCCCCCCGCATCCCGCCCACGCGGCTGGCCCTGCACCACTTCGATGTGAGCTACAGCCTGCAGCTGAAGGACCTGTGGCCCTCTGTCCGCGCTGGCCTGCTCTGCGAGCAGAAGTACGGCGCCCTCCTCAACAACTTCTCTCCCGTCGACCACGTCACCCAAGAGCTGGAGCTGCAGAATGCCACTGATTTTGTTTCTGAAGCCCCCAAAAAGGCGCAGCGATCGCAGCGGGGTGCAGCTGCGGAGGAGGTGGGTAGAGGGGAAAGCAGGTCCCAGGAGGGGTCTGGCGAGGGCAGGACAGTGATGCAGGCAGAGACAATGACGCAGGCAGAGATGTCACCACCGCTTCATGCCTCCATCAGCTCCAACATCAAGTGTTACACCTTCCCCAGGGGCGACATCACGCGCTTTCGCCCTGCACGGTGAGACATCCCCTGGGACAGACCGCCGGCTGTCATTGCCAGCCTCGGGGGCTGCACGTGCGTGAGCAGCCGCCGCTTCTGTACGTCCCCATCCTCACTTCCAACTGCTGTTTTCTTTTCCCCTTGCACCTTTGCTTTTTTTACGCAAACTGGTGATTTCCAGGCCGGACATTCTGGGGCTCCTCGACTATTATCTCATGGATGCAGCATCTCTCCTGCCCGTCCTGGCGCTCAACGTGCAGCCGGATGACTTTGTCCTCGACCTCTGTGCGGCTCCAGGTGGCAAGACTCTGGCTCTGCTGCAGACTGGGGTTTGCGGTAAGTGGAGGTGGGTGTTCCATGTCCCCGTGCTTAAAACAGGGCTGCACGAGTGTGCTGTCCCCATTGATGTCTGACCGTTAATCATTTCTGGTTATAAGAGTTGGGAATCGGTTGTCTTTTTGCAAGAGTGACATTCCCAGTGTGCCTGTTCTGTCCTCTCAGGGCACCTGGCAGCCAACGACATCTCCATTTCCCGGACAAAGAGGCTGCACCAGATTCTCCATAGCTACGTTCCCAAAGAAATCAGGGAAACTGTGAGTGTCACGTCCTGCGACGGAAGGGACTGGGAGCAGCTGGAAGGTGGCACTTTCCATAAGGTAGGTGATTGGGAGCCGGTGAAGGTAAACCCATCTAGTTCACTTTCCTCCTGTTTCAGAGGAAGACAGCAGCTTATCCTACAGTACAATTGTATAGTTTTCCATAATCTTAAATGCAGAGAAAGAGGGAAGACTAAGCCACATATGGAGTAATATTTCCTCCTGCTATACCCTTCCTGCAGGACCCGGTGCGTATGGGCATTCGGAGTTGCACCTTTATTTACCTGTGTAATACCCCTTAAAATCCTGTTCTAATCCATCACCTGGAAGGCGTTAAATGTGAAGATTAGGTAATTCTTGTTTCTCAGCCGTGTCCAGCCGCGGCAGCTGGGTTTGTTGCACCAGGAGGCGTCGCTGCAGGAGCTCTGGCCGTGCGTGGTTGCAGCCGTAGGCGCTGCAATAACGCCTACCAGGAAGACACGTGGAGTAGAAATGTTAAATGAGGACACGTGTGAGAGCGTGGTGTTATCCACCATTTCTGTGTCTATTTACACATTCCCAAAACGCAAAAGCAGCCAGACGAGTTACAGTTCAGTGTGGGTGCACACCTGTGCTCGGGCAGGACCAGTTAGGCAAGGTACTGAGGAGTGGAGGAGTCGGGCAAGGGCCAGGTTGCACTAGGAGACTCGCTGAGCTTGACCTGGGCCCAGGACTGATGCAGGACCTCTGCTGCTGCAGGTGCTGGTGGATGTGCCCTGCACGACGGATAGGCACTCTGTCATGGAGGACGACAACAACATCTTCCACAGAAGACGAACCAAGGAGCGTCAGATGTTGCCCATGCTGCAGCTGCAGCTGCTGATGTGAGTGAGCTCGACGCTGTGTTTTGACGCTATTTGTGTTACGGTAGCAGCTCTCCATGGCCAGCGCTGAAACCTCTTCTTACTTTGTGTCCCTGACTGGGAAATGTGGAAACCATGTGTAGTTTTCTGGAATGGCAATAGCTGAACACATCAAATCACAGTAAGTGTAAGAAGCTGCAAATGTTCTCAGTCAGATCAGATGTCCTTCCTGTCCCCGGCAGTAGCTATAGGAGGTAGGGAGGAGGTTCTAAGGAACAGGATGGGTATAGTGTTGTCCTGTGTGATGATCTCCCGGGTCCTGGTGGTCAGCCCTGGAGGATTCCCGAGTGTCCACATCTCCCGGCACATGGGAGGACATGGGGGTGCTTTGTCACCTCATTTTGCTGGGAAGGCTGGATGGGCTGACTGTGAGCTGGGGCAATAAGGAAACAGATTAGAGTCCCATGGCAGTGCTTGAACTGCGAGAGCCTCTTCCCTTGTACATGCTCTTATCCCATTCCCTTGGGGCTGAGTGCAGGATTACTCCTTCCAGCTGCTCTCCAGTAGCATCTCTCCATATTAAGTACTTTACCATTTTAAGCATCTATTTGATCCATACTGCCCTGGTCTAAAACAGTCCTCAAGTTGCAGTGACACAGTGAGACTGCTGCGCCTGTGGAATTCAAAGAGATTTGTCTCTCACCTCCTACGAGTTACATGCTAGCTTCCCAATTTCGGTGGGTGGGAATGCTGGTGTCCCACACAGTCCTCTTCTTCCCGTGACGGTGTGTGTGTTCATCTTGCCTGCAGGGCTGGGATCCTCGCTACCAAGCCGGGAGGAGAGGTGGTGTATTCTACATGCTCCCTCTCCCCGCTGCAGAATGAGTACGTGATCGAGAGAGCGGTAGAAATTGCGGAAACCCAGTTTAACATTAGTATCCACGTTGAGGACTTGAGCTACTTTCGGATGCTCTTCCAGGACACGTTTTCCTTCTTCTTGGGTTGCCGGCTGGGGGAGCTTGTTCTGCCTCACCTCACAGCCAACTTTGGACCTATGTATTTCTGCAAATTACGTCGGATGTAGAAGGGGCAACAGACTATGTCTGT